GAGATCACTGACGACGCACGTCCTATCATTTACACCTGATTCTGGTCTTCCTTGCTCGGATGAGCGGCTATCCATTCCAGCGCTTTCTGTATCAACGGAGGAATTTCCGGCGTGGTGGGCAAATGAGCGCCTTCCGGTTGGAAACCATTCTCGTTCGCGACGTACGTCAACGAGATCTGTTGGCCGTCGTCGCTGGGATAACTGAAGCTACCCTGCGCGTTCATCGCCTCGTTCTCCTGTCCCGCGTTCTCCAGGTGGCCCTCTTCTTGCGCTTTGATCCCGTTGCCAGACTCGTAGCTCCATTTGTAAGAGCCGTCTGGATTTGGTCCCTCTTGACTTTGGCTCACTATTGGTATCACGTCCTCCGCGGGGGCGGCTGCCACGCAGCTTGCTAGCGCGATCACGGCTACCTATGGGTATAAATCAACGACGAGTTAGGATAGTTGCTCGGCTGTTTTCTCAAGATTGCTCCGGTTTGCTGAGCAAAGTGCTCTCGAGCTGCTGGAAACGCTGGAATTGGCCAGGAAGACGGTGAATTGTGCGGACTGTTTTCAACTTGGAAAAGCTGGAACGAGGAGATCTGTGCTTTTGCAAAACACCCAAGACTATTTTTTTTAATCGAGGATCGACACTGTCCTCAGACAGAAGTTTGAGGTGTATATGTAGGGTGAATGTAGTTTGAAAGTTGGTGGTTTCACGTTTGTGCTATGCTACTCAATTAGTTTAAATTACCACAAAATTTAGGTTTAACGTAATTTCGTATGTTTCAGTGTAACGTTAAATAGCGAGTTACTTTAGTAAAATTTTTATCGTTGAAATGAATACTTTCGAGGATTTAAGTCTGACTAGAGTTATTAACTAACCTTTCGTATTCCGAAATTTTCACGAATTTCACGAATATTTCGTGCGAATGATAGAATGCAGAGCTTTCGCGCGGACATCGAGCACCGGCGGTAACGCATTCAATTTAAGCGAATTCAAAGTTTGCTCAAATCCTAAACGCGATGTTGGTCATTATAGTCGAGCAGTAAAACAAACACGGCTTGCAATTCCCCCTGTAAAGACGTCACAGCAGATGGACCGACGTGGAGTATTCTCGCGTGCGCGCGAGCGCGCCCGCTATAGCCTGGCTCGATGTTTACGTTATTGCGTTTAAACACCTATAAATTACGTCGCGGAAGATCGATTCCCGCGTAATTACGCGTCTGTGGGGTGCTGTTTAAACGCCGCATCGAGCCACGTATCAATTCGAGAAATCGATTGCAAGATTGCCTGCAAGTATACCGGACTGTATTGTCGAAAACGACGGTAAACTGGCCGCATGTCCGCCAGTAGCGACACAGTTTCGAGTCAGACACGACTTGAGCGGTAGTGTGACGGTTATTAAGTCAGACATAACTTCTTGCTCGTTTCACTCAGCGGACAGATAGAATCTATCGAATTTCCAATATTTTTCCAACGTCAATCCTTTCACGTGTAAACATCGAAACTATTCTCCATCTACGTAACTATGCAAATAGGAAAATAAACGTTAATCGAGTAATACGCGTGATACAGCGAGGAGAGACGGGAGATCCTAACTGACAAATTGTTTTTTTTTTTCCAAAGAAAAAACAAACTAATCAAGAAATTCTGAAATTCGAATTACCACCCGAGATATGTTTAATACCCATCGTACTTCGATCGACGACGAAACCACAGGTATCCTCGAAGGATGATCTCTTCTCTACATTCACCCTACTTACCCTTGACTCGTTCGTCTCTCGTTGAACGTCCGAAAGAAGCGGCAATAGCGTTCCTCGAAAGCGATCGAGCAACTCAAAGGGCGCACAATGGACGTTTCACAGGTATATTCCCAGCATTGTGAATCACGCACAGAAACGAGTAGAATCCGCGGATCTCGACAGCACTCGACAATTCTTCCCCGGTGAAGACCTGATCTCGGTCAGGCCTGAACTTTCGATCTCGCGTTTTAAGTTCACCCTGAATTTCCTTACTCCCGAGCTTTTCCAGCAACCGTGTCTCTCTTAATTGCGCTTACCAGTGACGTGTACATGCTGCAGCAGTAATCGCTGATGGGCAAGTGTTTATCAAGCCCCGCAGCGCTCGTCGTATATATACCCCTGGAGGCATCACCAATACGATCGTTTGGCCAAGTAACGATAGCCACCGTGCTTCTAAGAGGACGCACATGGGACACGACAACGTAACGACAGACAGAGTAGGACACAATCGTGACAGAGAGAGAGAGAGAGAGAAGGATAGTGACATACAGTTAGAGGGACCTTAAGAGGGGTTACACGGATCCTCATTTAACGTGCGCGCGCGGTGCACACACGTGTGTGCATGTGTGGAGAAACGTATGGGGACAACAACACACTGTACATCAACCGGAGAGAGACTACCTTCCCGGGGATCAGCATGTCACATTGCGCTAAATGTCATCGGGTCCCCGTTAAAGGATGCTTACTCAATTGTCATAATTTCTTCAACGACGTGTTACCTATGACACCGTGGCCCTTCGAGTCGTTGGAACAGTTTGAATCGGTTCAATTCGAGGGTTGTCTTTCAACGCGACGTATCGTCGACCGGTGTGTCAAAACAGGTTGACGCAGGGTGTACGGCTCGGTAATCGAAACCGTGTAATTGAAAGTGAAAGGTCAAGGGAGATGTTGGGAAGCCGTTCATGTCATTTCTGCCTTATATTATTGAAGTAGAGGGATTATCAGGTGTCGGATCGAACATTATTCGGACACCTGTTATGTTCGCGTAGAATTAAATCGCATTTCTTCGCCGAAGTTGGTGTGATTTATTGGTGAAAATGTACAGGGTGTCCGTGCTATTAGCTTCCAGAGGGGTTTTCTCGTAAGTTCTTTTATTTTATTGAGAGTTTGAAACCTCGTAGCAGGTTTATTTGAGCTTTTTCTTATTTATGTCTTTGCTCGTAAGTGGTAAATTTGTAAGAAAAATATAAAGGGACAAATTTTCGTTACTTTTTATAAACAGTACGATGGCTTGAATGGATTTTTTAAACTTGCAATGGTTTTCGTGTAACGACGGTGCCACAAATTTTTTTCAATTGATAGCAATAATTATTTTTATATTATATGAAAGTGGTTGACGAGACAAGCTCAGTGACCTAACAAACTCAATTTCGTGCGAATGTTTGGTGTAGCATAATCAACGACACACTGTTAGGACTTCATTTTTACGATGGCACCTTAAACGAATGCAGTACATTTTCCTCAGGATCTTAATTATTTTGCAATGACTGTTTAGGTTTGCTAATATTTATGGACAGAGGTGTACAGCAAGTAGTTTTTCGGAAGCATTGGTATTTTTGGGGTTCAAATGAAAATATCAATAGCTTTGAGCAGAATAATTCGAGTCATTTTAATATTGAAAATAATGAAGGTCTCGAGCCAATAATTCAAGTCAATAATAGAGGGCTTTAGGTTTAACTAAAAATTCGAGGGAAAACGAAATTTCTTAACTACAAAAGAACTTCGATTAATCATTTCCATAACACAAGAATGATGAAATTTCATTAATTTACCAAATTTAACAAAAAAAAAAACTCATTTTCTTTGTATTCAATTGTAAACGGAAGTTGTTGCAATAAAATTGAGAAAATTTCAAGAACTCTACAAGTGAGAAACATCTTTAAATTATGCAAATATGGTAGACACGTAATTATTAAATTATTCATCAGTCCCGATTTGAATCTTTTTTCGATTGTTTACAATTTGTTACCTCTGACCAATCAACGAGGTATTTCATTGCAAACCATCTGAATTTTCCTTCTCGTCAACAACTTTACATTCACGATAACCTATGAATATCACGAATAGTTGCACAGTTTCTTCCGAATTGTTTAATCAACGACCTAACGCTTAATCACACATTAGTCAAATTACGCCGTTGATGTTCCAACAATTCATATCATCGCTAATTCTCCGTGCAACAGTAAGACGCCTAAATTGAATGTAACACGCGATAATCATTTTGCACGATTACTACGTACCAACCGTGCGGTTGGTAATAATTACATAATACATGATAGTATGTGTTCTTTTCCTACTTTGTGTAAATAGCAATTTAGCACGCCACTTCATCCGATCATTTTTTTTTTTTTTTTCTTCCAATCCTTCTCTATTTGCGTTGTATGTATTTCGTCGTTCTAACTTTGTTCCAAGCATTTCACTTTCTGTCGCGTAAAGTGAATGTGCCGGTTTGTAACACTTTCTGTGCATCTTACTTATTCTATTTTAAACACATTCGACGCGTCAACAATTACCTTGGATTAAAAAGTATGAGCGTGCATCTATTTAATCGACGATCGGTATTATAATATGTGAGGAATGTTAAGAATTGATTGTAATCGGCAACGCGTTAATCGATTGCATATTAATTCTAACGTTTTTCCGTGAATGTTGCGACTTTGCGCGAAAAGGAAAGAGAGAAAAGAAGAGAAGCTTCAACTTCCATTTCAGCCGTTGCCGCATACGTTGCAACTGACGTGGCATTTGCAATATGCGGTTAATCAACGAAACAGTTACACGACGAAACGCAAAGGACCTATTAAATGTTTACTTTTTACAATTAATCATCTGCAAGGTTTGAGAGAAAGTTTCAGATAAAAGAAGAAGAAAATACGAGCGAACGTTTTGTATTGATGTAAGTAGAAACGTAAACACGCTTAAAAAGAAAGAAAAAACAACTGACGTATAATCGTGTTTGATAGCATTAATCATACCATCACTCGTAGAAGAAGAACTTTCATCTTCCTTATACAATCACTGGGCTTGACTATAATCGAAGAAACTAATAAATCATTCGGCTAAATCGTCCAAAGAACGGATGAATTATATACCAGAAGACCGTTACTACTTCGTTCCTTTTTATGGAAAACACAAGGAATAAAGCGAGGTTCCAATGAATTCTCGTTTTCTTAGGAATGTCAAGTACCCTGTTACAAACGACAGTTGCGATTCTGCGTGATTCACTAAGGCGCGTCATCGATATCTATGAACAATCTTCTTCAAGCTAGGCTTCTGTTTGGATATACCTTTAGCGTATCGTAAACTGAGGGAACATTTGCCAGCTTTTTGCAACACTTTTCCGTGTAACGTTGCATCTATTCTAACGTTACACCCTGTGTTGCTTTGTTATATACATGAAGTGAGATATATTATTTTTCTTATTATATATTTAATAATGACGAACCGATCTTTTTTTTTTTATTTATTTACATCTTAATTATAATAATCTAATTTTCGTCCTTCCTCGTCCCTTTTTAGATGTATTAGTGTCTTTGTCCTCCCTCCGAATGCTTGTGGCATCTTTATTAGGTACATAGGTATTTAATTTAAGTTACCACATAGTGCCAATGTTCCTCCAGTTTGCGGTAACACAGTGTTCCCCGGATTAGTGTAACATTTTTCATCCCAATTTGGTGAAACATTTGCATCCCCACCTCGCTTCCCCAAAACGAATCCCCACCGCGAATTACAAATCGGTAGATACAACGGGTGACTTAAAATCTCTTCTAAACCGCTTCTTATTTCGTTGCATCGTTTCTAACGCGCGAATTTAACAGAGCAAGCTTCCAGAGGGAAGCCACATAAATTTTCTAAAAACACTGCAATAATTAAAAAAAAAAAAAGAAAACATCAAGTACTATTCACGTAACTTCTTTTTTATGGAACATAAGTAAGAAATAACAATAATAATTTCACGAATCACTGAGATTTATAATTGTCAGAGGGTGGAACGAGGGGTCACGAACTTAAAAAAAGAAAACAAATAATGAACACGGCAAAATCACTATACGCCTATGCTTCACTAATGGACACGTTAAGGTGCAGAACAAATAGTCACCGTTGTGGTAAATATAGGGGAAAGTCTGTCGTGATATATTTGCAGTTTTAATTAGCCGGGTTACATAATATGAGCAGTGCATGCAAAAGATGTACAAATAAATATCACTCGTGAAAGTAGTGAACTAGGTAACATCGTTTGAGCATGTCGCACTCTATTGTGGCTTGAATATACGTCCAAGGGTTTGAACCGAACCGCCTTTACATTCACATCCTTGTATAATATTTCTTTATTTCGAAAAAAATTCTAAATTGAAGTAGTAACATTTTTACGACACTGCAAAACGATTTTGCATGGCTTCGTTTTTTTGTGAATTCCGTAAGTCAAACAGTTATTTTTTAAACATGTCTTATGCACGTATTTGTAATAAAAAACAATTTATACAGTTGCAGTTTAAAAAAATATAGAACAAATTAATAACGTTACATGTTTTAATAAGGTGCACTTTTCTTTAAAAAGAATTTTTTCAATGCATGTATATGTATATCTTTATTACGTTTCTTAAGGATTACAATTTTTCCTTACCTTATTCCTATATTTACAATTTCCTTATTGCCATCTTATATCTACTTCTCTTGCATTCTACCATTTCTTACTTTTCTCAACCATCATAACCTATTCTTTACAATTGTCTTTGTCCTATGCCCTTATTATGTACTTACTTCTATATGCTATCGCTGGAAAGAAAGAGAGAGAAGAGAGCCATTCTTCTTTGCACTGGCCTTTCCATTCCGCCTCCTTACGTCTATGTCTTATTCTACTTTTCTTTTTTCTCTTTTTTCCTGTACTTTTATGTATTTGTACTTTTCTTAACCTAATAACTTCTCCGTCTGACTTTCGTCTCCTTCTTCATTTACTCCTTGTTCTCATTCATTCCCTTCTTTCACTCTTCTCCTTCATCCTCCTGCAAGAAATTTGTTAGTGATTACAATAATATATTTTCGAATTATGATTATTAAATTTACTAAAGAATGATCGACGTTAGTAGGTATCGATTGTACCATTGATCGTACGACATGAAGTAAGTTGGTAAGGAGAACAGAAGAGCGATGTGAAGTCAGTAGTAAGAGAGCATGCGTGCCGCGAGTGACGAGTACATATAACCTATTTATATACCTTAATTCAATATATTATTTTAATTAATGTTGTGGCTGATTTATTCGCCTAATCCTGTGATAAAGCAATTTCTCCTATTATTTAATATGATGCGGAATACATAATACAAACT